GTATATGGTTCTCTCTTGAGGAAGAAGAGAAAGAAAGCAAAAACAATCTTTCCAAAAATTCCACGCAAAAGAGACAGCCGCCAAATGACCAAAAACGTGACCTTTACAGTCAAAAATTCGTTAGGTCAGAAAACCACAGATGGCAGCAGAGAGAGAGAAAGAGGAATAGGACAAAACAGTTTGTTATCCAGCTGGAAGCAAGGATGACTAGTCATATGAGAAACGGATGACTAGTCATCATTTTATGAAGACTGTTTAATGTAATGATATGCAATGCACAATACCTTTGTTAACTTGCATGAGCTACCATAGAGCAAAGATTAGAGAAGAGCACCAATAAAAGTTTTCCCTAATCTAGACTTGAGCTTGATAAATTACATTACACATCCTATTACAAAGTTGTCAAGGGAAACCAAAAGAAAATAGTAAAAACCATACATTAAGCAGAGCTTTGGTTGCTTCAGTGTTTTGAAAGAACCACTTAAGAAGGAACTCGTTACACTTCTACAAGAATTCAAAGAGTTTATTGGTTCAGGATAACAAGGAAGGAAAGGAACAGGCGGTTTATTACCTAAGCAGAACTCTGACAGAAGTGGAAAGAAAATATTCTGCAATTGAAAGACTTTGCCTAGCCTTGTACTTCACTGCTGTAAAGCTCAGACATTACATGCTGCCATACACCATCTATATCATTGCCAAAACAGATCTGATCAAATACATGCTAACAAGACCAATGCTGAGAGGCAGAATTGGAAAATGGACCTTGGCCTTGACAGAATTTGCCTTCAGATATGTTCCTCAGAAAGCCGTCAAAGGACAAGCTGTGGCAGACTTCCTAGCAGATCATCCCGGAGAGGAGATTGAAAATATGGACTCTCTAGACATAGCAAATGCAGATCTATTAACCAGAGCTCACACCTGCCTCAACAATCCTATCTACTCAGTTCATCTTGCACCTTGGAAGTTATACTTTGATGGATCAAAAACTGATATAACTTCAGGGGCAGGAATTGTCTTGGAAGAACCACTTGGAATCAGACACTGCTACTCTTTCCAATTGGATTTCCAATGCACCAACAACAGGGCAGAATATGAGGCCTTAATCATTGGCTTAGAAATACTGGTAGAACTAGGAATCCAATCTGTGGAAATTCTGGGAGATTCCATGCTAGTTTTGAAACAAATTGCTGGAGAATACAAGTGCCTAAGCCCTTCTTTGGCTGTCTACTTGGTGGCAGCTAGGAATCTTCTGACAGAATTTAGGGAAGCCACTTGGGAACATATCCCAAGGGAAGAAAATTTTGCAGCCAATGAATTGGCCCAGGTAGCAACAGGTGTACAAATGCCCCAAGACTGTGTACAAAGAATCATCAGGATAGGAAAGAAAAGCCTACCATCTGTTCTGGCCAGAGGGATGGAGATAGATGTCAATTCTGCCACAATCACTGAAGATGATTGGAGAAATCCTATCATGACCTATCTACGATATCCAACTTTGCCCTCTGAGAAGAGAGTCAGAATCATGGCTTTAAACTACCTTATGTGGAATGAAGATTTGGTCCGAAAGAGCAAGGATGAGGTGCTTTTAAGGTGCCTCGGAAAGAAAGAATACATGAAAGTTATGGGGGAAACCCATGAAGGAATCTGTGGAGCACATCAAGGTGGGAGAAAAATGTGCTGGTTAATTAGGAGATATGGCTACTTCTGGCCAACCATGATGAAAGATTGCATTAACTATTCCAAGGGGTGTGAATCTTGTCAAAGACACGGCCCAGTCCAGCAGGCTCCATCAGTTCCCATGAATCCAGTGGTAAAACCATGGCCCTTGAGAGGATGGGCAATGGATCTCATTGGTAAGATCTACCCAGCCAGCAGCCAGCAGCACTGCTTTATCATTGTTGCCACAGACTATTTCACTAAGTGGGTGGAAGCCAAGGCTGTTAAATCTACTACATCTCAAGAGATCATCACTTTCATAGAAGAGCAGATTATCCAAAGATTTGGCATCCCAGAATCAATCACAACTGATAGAGGATCCTCCTTCATATCCGGAGAAATGCTGGACATGGCAGAGGCATTCAAAATCAGACTGCTCCAATCCACTCCTTATTATGCCCAAGCCAATGGACAGGCAGAATCAAGCAACAAAGTGATCATCAACATTATCAGGAAAATGCTTGAGAAAAATCCGAAACAATGGCATGAGAAGCTGTCAGAAACTCTGTGGGCATATAGAACTTCAAAAAGAGAAGCGACTGGCATGACTCCCTATGCGTTAACCTACGGTCATGATGCAATTCTGCCTATGGAGATAGCTGTTCAGTCCCTCAGAATTGCTCACCAACATGACTTAGTAGGAGAAAACTACTCCCAGGCCATGCTGCTGGAACTGGAGGGATTAGATACAGGCAGAATTGACACTCTCAACAAACTCCGGGCAGGAAAACAGGCTGTATCAAGGGCCTACAACAAGAGAGTCAGGAACAAGAGTTTTGAAGAAGGGGAGATAGTCTGCAAGGCAGTTCTGCCCCTCGGAACCCATGTGGCTAGTTATGGAAAATGGTCGAGATAGTCTGGAAAGCAGTTCTGCCCCTCGGAACCCATGTGGCTGGTTATGGAAAATGGTCGCCTACATGGGAAGGCCCTTTCATAATCAATCAGATCCTCGGAATGGGGGCATACAGGTTGCAGGATAGGGATGGAGAAGTTCATACGGCCCCAATCAATGGCAAATGGTTAAAAAAGTTCTATCCAACCATGTGGGATTCGCAGGCTGTACAAACAGACCCTGGGATAGACACAAGATTACACTAGAAATCTTTTGGTTCCTTTCATTTCTCCTTTGTTTCTACTTCTGTCTTTGAGTTTGTCCTTTTGTTTCTCTTCTACTTCTGTTCTATGCACTTTGGATGGGAGAATTTCACCAAAGAAGATTAAGTGGAAAGAAGCAACGAAAAAGAAAGGAAAGGGTTAGATGAAATTAGGGTTCTTTGTGCCTATAAAAGAGGGCTTCTACTACCCAGGAAAACAACCCATTCAGAGCCTGACCAAGCTTTGTCAAGCAACTGAAAATTTACTCAAGCCACCCAATCTTCTTCTTAGTTTGTTTTTCTTCTTCCCTTAAGATAGAAATCATGCTAATTTTCCTCTGCCTTACTCTAGATTATAGATCTCCACAAGAAATTCAAGCTTTTTATCTCTCTCAAAATTGCTAAACTTGTGAAAGCTTAGCTCCATGCCACAAGCTCCTCAAGCTAAGTCACTTATCAATTTATTACGATTATCTGGCTGTTAGTGAAAAGAACCTAAGAGTGTTTTTTCTAAAGTTTCAAAAGACTTTTCAAAAACCCTTTTGGGAGCTTGGTTTTAGAACTCGGGTACTTGAGGAATTTCTGTTCGTTTTTTTCTTACGGCAGCCCAAGCCCATTCGTTAGGCTACTAGAACAAAAGACCCCTACAATTATAAAGAGCCATTAAGAGTCATCTCTCTCTTCATATTTAGAAGCTTCTAGAGGTCTCATTGTTTTAGGGGGGGGATAGGGAGCATGTCTAATTCCTCCCTAAAATTTGTCTAAGAATGTGATTTAGGGAATCCATTGTTGATGCTTTATTTATTTGATATCTGCAGCTTATCGTTTTTTAAAAATAGCTACTCCAAAAAAGTAAAAAGAAAATTGAAAATCGATAGGAATTTTTTTTTCATGAAGGACCTGAACCAACGTTGCACTGAGAAAGAATATTGAAAGCCTTCGTGAAGAAGCACACTGTATAAAAAAAAATTAGTTATTTCAAACCGTTTTTAAACTTAGATGCTCGTTATGTATCCAAAACTTTTTTTCAAAACAATACTGTCTCTCTTTTCTATGATCAATTTTAGAATAATTAATTTTTAGCATTCATCCTACGGGTTTCACTCCCAAAATAATGCAGATGTTAGGTTAGTTGGCTAGGGCAGTGTATCCAACCCTTTGTACTCGAGTTCGATCCTCTTCTCTACAGTTTAGAGAAGTCTAGACCATCACTAGTATAAAAATTTTTTAAAAAAAATCCCGAAATGATTTTAAATCTTCTAAATCATGAAAACATGAGCGTATATCATTTATAGCATAAACCTTTTTATTTTTATTTTATATATATATTTTTTATTTATAATAAATAACACTAACCTCCCTTCTCATATGGTAGATTTCAAATTACAACAAGGCCCTGTTTGGTTCATGGGAAATGAGACTTGAGAATGAGAATTCAATTGCTTTCCCATGTTTGGTGAGTCCAGGCATGGGAAATGGTTGCCTGGCACATGAGAAAGTAGGGGGGAAAGTGAAGCCCTTCTCTTAACTTGGGTTTTGTTTTCCCTTCTCATGGGAAAGTTTGGGAAAATGAGCCAACATTCAATGCACAATTTTCATGACTCTTCTGTCCCTATGAATAATTTATAATTACAACGTATCATTAAATGCATTCTTTTTTTATTTGATTTAATATGGGTATAATTGGAAAATTATACAAACTTTGTTTTCCATTCCTACTTAAAACAAACATGGGAAAGGAAACAAAGTGAAATCTCCCGGTTACTTTCCCGATATTACCAAACGTGGGAAAGGAATCTTTTATTCCCATTCCTTAGGAAATGACATGGGAAATGATTTCTCCTCAAATCCATTTCGTGAACCAAACGGGGCCTTATAGTAGTGTAGGTCTGGCACCTGATGGATCGCATGAAAACAAGAGCAAGGTGAAGCAGAGCCTAACCTTGGCCTATAAGCACAACCGTTTATATAATTTGAAAGCTCAACTTCAAGGGGAGCAACTTCAAGAAACCAACTCCAGCCATTTTCAAGATGGATCAGAAGACAAGAACTTTGCGAAATGGCCCACTACTTGGTGGCAGCAATTCTCTGTGTTGCTTAGGAGAGGACTGAAAGAGAGGAGGCACGAGTCCTTCTCTGGTAGCCAGATTTACCAGGTTGTGGCTGTGGCTCTTCTTGCTGGGCTACTATGGTGGCAGTCAAATATTTCCCACTTGTAGGATCGGGTAACATACACTTTCTTCCTCTCCCTTTTTCTAGCTTTTGCAATATGCATTTTCTTTTCTTTTTTGGTTACATGGGGAATTTCAATATGCATTTTCATGGGACAGATTCAATCGAAAGTCTAATATAATTAGTGCTAATATCATTAGACTAGTATTAAAAGGGACATATTATCAATTATTATGACTAATTACTGATTGATACTTTCACTTGTCACATATATCATTAGACTAGTGTTCAGAGGGTATGATTTGTTTCCCTTTTCTGGGTTTGGCACAATAGTTGAAGATATAGGCTATTGGGTTTATGCTAAGCATGACATAAAGTATCACTTGATGGAATGCCTAAGTTCAGTATGCAAAAGAAATTTTTTTCAGGATAACAATTTGCGAAGCCATCCTAGCTTCGCAAACGTAACCCATTTTAACAACTTTGAGAATATTTTTTGGTTATGTATGCAGACTGGGCTTCTCTTCTTTATGTTTGAATTTTGGGGGTTTTTCCCTCTACTCCAAGCAATTTTCACCTTCCCCCAAGAGCGCAAGATGCTTGAAAAGGAAAGATCTTCAGGCACATAAATGCTCTTCTCGTAATTCATATCAAGGATTGTTGCTGATCTCCCCATGGAGCTTGCCCTTCCAACCCTATTTGTCACCATAACATATTGGATGGCAGGGCTCAAACCCACAGCAGGACACTTTTTCCACACCTTGCTTGTTCTGCTACTCAGTGTGTTAGTGGCTCAAGGCATGGGGCTTGCTCTTGGGGCTCTGGTAATGGACCAAAAAAAGGCCGCAGTACTTGCATCAGTCCTCATGGTATCATTTCAGCTAGCTGGAGGTTTCTTTGTTCAACATGTTCCTGCTTTCATTGCTTGGATCAAATACATTTCCATCATTAACTACTCATACAAGCTCTTGATGGGGTCTCAATACAATGAAAATGACACTTACCTATGTGATAGTGGGGTTTGCTTGGTTAGAGATTTCCTAAGTATAAAACATGTTGGGCTTAGTGGACAAATTGGTGCAGCGGTTGCTTTGGCCATAATGCTTGTGGGGTTGTAGGCTAATTGCTTAATTAGCTCTCATGAGGACTGGGTTGTAGGCTAATTGGTTTTTCCTTCCTAGAGAGTTAAACTGAGTGATTAAAGGAAACTTTGGTAAGTTAAAGTTTGATAAGTGGACACATGGAATCCATTGATCGATCTTTTACAATTAGAGCTGATGTTGGATTTTGCAGTAGCCGTGAAGATTTCATGTCTGCTATTGTTTAATGTAAACATAAAATCAGGAAAGGAAAGGAGAGGTGGTTAGTTCATGAGGGAACAGAGAATAACAGGGAAGGAGCGACAAAAGCAACTCTGAGTATTTTACTTTATATGCAGGCAGTGACATGAAGCTAAAAGAATTGCAAAGGCATAATTGGATGCAAGAGAAGCCCTGTATTTTGGCTCTTCGTTTCTTCTTCAGTTTCCAGCCCTGTATTTTGGCTCTGTTTTCAGTGGAAATTTTTTTGGCACCACCACATAATATAATTTTGGGAGATTCACTATTATACCCAATATAAGAGCGGGTCCACCGCTGCAGCCCAGCCCAAGGCTTGGGGGGAACACAAAAGCGCGTG